GGACCAGCTAAAAAAAAAAAAAAAAAAAAAAAAAAAAATAGCTGAATGTTGTAGCAGACACTTTTAGTCCCAGCTACTTAGGAGGCTGAGGCAAGAGGATCTCTTGAATACAAGAGTCTGAGGTTGCTGTGAGCTATAAAGCCACAACACTCAACCCTAGGACAACTGAGTGGTCCTCTGTCTCAACAAACAAACAAAACAAACCCCAAATGAACTCAGATCTTTCTTCACATCCACCAAAAGTTAACTCAAAATGAATTATACAGTGAAAAGAGAACCCCAAGAATGGGAGACAATGTTTGCAAACAAGACATATGATAAGGAATTTGCATCTAGAATATACAAAGTACTCTTGTACTTAATAATAAAAGGACAAATAACCAAAATTAAAAATGGGCAAATCACCTGAATAGAAATTTCTCAAAAAAAGATACGTAGTAGACAATAAGCAAATGAATAGATGCTCAATGTCATTAACCATTAGGGAAACACAAATTGAAACGATGGTCAGATGCCATTTCACACCCACTGGGGTGAAGATATATATAAAAAAAATGAAATCACAAGTGTTGGTAAGGAAATGGAGAAAGTGAAACCTTCATACCCTGCTGGTGGGAACGTAAAACAGTGCAGCCACTTTGGAAAACAGTTTGACAGTTCCTCAGATGGTTAGTTACGATATGACTCAGCAGTTCCACTTCTGTGTACCATGCCCTGGAAAAATGAAAAAAATACATTCACACAAAAATTTGTATATAGCAGCATTACTCATAATAGTTAAAAGGCAGAATTAACCCAAATGTGCATCAACTGATGAATGGAACTGCTGATAAATAAAATATGGTAAATCCATACAATAGAGTATTATTTGACAATAACAAGAAATGAAGTATTGCTATGTGGTGCACCTAGATGAACCTTGAAATCATCACACTAAATGAAAGAACCCAGATGCAAAAGGCCATATATTGTATAATCCCATTTGTATGAAATGTCCAGAAGAGACAGAAAATAGATTAGTGGCTGCCAGAGACTGGAGAGAAGGAGAAATGAGAACTTCTAATGGGTTTCTTTTTGGGCTCATGCAGTGTTCTAAAATTAGATAGTGGTGAATGGTTGTATAACTGAATATACTAAAAAACCATTGGATCATATAGTTTATTTATTTTTGGTTTTGTTTTTACTTTGTTTTTTTGTTTTGTTCTTGCCCCTGGGTAGAGTGCTGTGCTGTCATAGCTCACAGCAACCTCAAACTTGGGCTTGAGCAATACTTTTGCCTCAGCCTCCCAAGTAGGCAGGACTGCAGGCACATACCACAGTACCTAGCTATTTCTTTTTCTTTCTTTCTTTCTTTTTTTTTTTT